GATTATTATATATTCTTATTTTTTCATTCCTGTTATTCATTCTTTTTTCGTCCTTAATAATCTCATCTCCATTCTAGATTTTATCGAGTTTTTCCAACTCGTTTCGAGCTGTTCGAAACGAGGTATCGATTAAACTTATGTGTATAAGAAAGAAATCTTTGAGTCGAGATCATTTAGAAATTTGTTTTAGAAATTAGATTAGAAAATAACCGGTTAACTTGATAAGAATTGACCGGTGTTACCGATTTTTATAAGTTTCTTACACTTCACATTTGAAAATGTGGACGCCGCCATTCGCTCGATACGAGTTTGACCGAATGGATCGATTTTTCTGTAGTTTTTCCTCCGTTTCAGACACGTGGAGAGAGGGTCGTTACGCAAGTTTTAATCAACACGCGAATATCAAATTTTCTATCTATTCGTTCCGTTTGACCGTAATCATATTTGTTACTTAATGTTACTTAAATAATTTATTATTTAAAAACAGCTTTCATTTAGTTCGTCATAAAAGACTAACTAAACTGAATTTAATATTATGTAACGTGAATCTAATATTATGTATTCAGTTTTACACACGCATGACATAAAACTATTATCACGAAAGTGAAATTAATTCGAGAATTTTGCGCCGCAACATCTTCGACAACTTATCGATTTATATTTTTTTGAAGAGGAAGAAGAGGAAACGGAGATCGTTTAGTAACCTCCATCAAATTAAAACATTTCAAAATCAGATAAAAATTCTTGACACAAGAATTCCAAGAATTTCTCTAATCTCCACTTCATCTACTATAAGACAAATCTTCAAAATTCTCTGAAGAGTTATTCTCGACAGAAGAAATTTTTTATTACATTCACAAATTACTTCGAAACTTCAAAGAAAGTTCCGAAAACCGAATTAGATCCCTTTTTGAAATTATTTCTGATAAAACAAAAAAAAAAAAAAGAAGAAAAAAAATGGAAAAGAAAGAAAAAATCAATGACCAGTTTGAAAACAACACGAGGTTGCACGTGAAAAAAAAAAAAAAAGGCAGAAAGAGAAAGGGAAAGG